GATTTTGGACAAGAACAAATGCCAGCAAAGGCCAACTGCGACACTCTGCCACGTCCCTTCTTCAATGAGATCCGGACTAGCTGGTCACTGTCTGAGAGCAAGATGAAGTAGTGCCAACTTTTTGATAAAGACAGCAACCTGAAAGCTGAACACCCCCACAAAGCATTCCAAATCCACCTACCCGCTGAGGTTGCCCCGAAACAGCATGGTTTGAAATCCATGCTCCTCCAACATCCAATATTGTTTGCAAAGCCGCACAAACTGCAAATATCTGCACATATTACCATAGAACTGAACGTTAACAAAAGTCTCCAACATATGATAATCCACACTCCAAGCTGCTCAGTGATGCCGTAAATCTCCGCTGCCAACAGAGATGCTCCACTACGCTTCACGGAGACCTCTGAACGCACCTTGAAAGGACACACTGGGTCGCGTTGGAAGGTGGCATGGAAGTAGATGGACCACGGTGTGTAGAGGGCCGTGGTGCTTCGTGTGCTTTTTTTGGCAATGTTTCCTTGAGGGCCACTGGGATCAATGACACACGTTGCACTTGCTAGGTACGGATCTGACTTGCTATGTCATGTGAGAACATGGGGTGAGGTTGGGGCGTGGGGTGGGGTGGGGCTGATGACAAACATTGCACATTCGACGCATCTGCTTTCTTACGCAATTGACTTGCTTTGTGAGCACCTGGGGTGGAGTGGGGTGGGGTGGGGCTAGTGGCCCATCAACAGAAAGTCTTTACAAAGGAAATTCAACCACACGGAAAGAAGACCCGGAGTCTTGCAGGCACACAGTTGTTGGATCGCACATGGTTATATAAGTCTGAAGACTTTCTTGCCCCAGCAATCCCCAGCAATCAGTTGCTAAGCAAAAGAAACATGGGGATAGACTGCTGAATGAGAGAGTCATGCATACATACCGCCAACAGCACGTCAAAGACTCTCTATATAGACCTGTTCTTAAAGAACTTGATGGCGATGTTGAAGTAAACAAGTGCATTCTGCTATGGCGAAACGCTTACTTCGATACTTTCCACCTCTGCCCCCAGTCAGGCTCAAGGTCCATGAAAAAGAGGAGCACATCCACTCTGCAAAACACTAAGTAGTTTGGAAGTTGCAAAAACAAGCAAAACGTGCGTCTCGTTGTAGCGAAACGCTCATTTTCAGCTCTCCCCAGTCAGGTTGCGGCCTCAACGCTACAGTTTCCCAAGTACATCAGAAGCCCAGTCTGGCTAAAAGTATACGGTGTCTGCGACGTCTCAAAAGGCCTACAAAACCTCACGGCCGTCTATGAGCCGTGGACCTAGTCACCTCATGTTACCTCTGGGTTGAAGGAACAGCTTGCGACCAAAGCCAGGAAGGTGTCTAATTCCATATCATCCAAACAGATCCAGCAAGAAAAATCAATCAGTTGTCAAGGTACGTATATGTTGTCGAAGCCCTTTGCCCAATCTTTTGCGCTTGCATGCAATACTGGAAACTTCTGGTCGACATGAATAAGAAAGCTGTGTCCTTGGCTGCTTGTTTCTGGCTGGATGTTTGATTGCAACGTTTGCAGGACACCTATGTAGCTTAATTACGCCTCCAGAAGCCAAGAAGCTGTGCCAGACAAAACAACCTCATGTGTTTTTGCAACCGAAGGGACTTGAATGCCACAAAGAGGTGACGAGCTCTTTGATCACCGGCAGCTGACTTTGATATGCTGCCAGAACAAGCACCGCTAAAGAGATCGACCTTCGTCATGGACCGTCCATGGACCACATGATAACGAACAAAACACACCATGGTCACACGACAGCAGAGACTCAGAGAGCGATGACTGGAGAGTGCCAGTGTTCCTATTGGAACACAAACTACCATGTGTGAGGAAAACTGGCAACGTTGCGCTTTGAGATCAGCGACAATATGGTTGTAGGCTATAGGTGAGGGATCGATGGCCAAGTCACTGGAAGTCCCGGTAGACCATCTCAGTGCTTTGAATATCAGCCTTGAGCCAGGTTTAAATATACATATATATATATATTGATCATACCGATCCAAGAAGCTCTGCCCCCCTGCAATGTGCAAGTGCGATGCAAAAAGTATCCATCTTTCTCTCAGGCTATGTACAGAACTGTAACAATCGCAATCGCGTTCAATACACCATGATTGCCATGATTTGTGCTAAACGCACACCGCATACATATATATATATATATTTGGTGGTGTTTGAAGCTTCTTCTAGGGGCCCATTGAAAGACCAAACATGAGACATCAGCATTCTATCGCACATTTCATAAATAGATCACACGATTCCGACCTGGCTGAGTGATGAGGTAACCATTGATACGCTGGTTGACTGTTCAGGGTTCCAACTTTCCGTAACCCGGAAGTTTCGACTACATCAACTTCCTTTGACGCCTTGTCTTTCGTGTTGTCTTTCGCCACATCGTCTTTCGCTCCAAGATGCAGCAGCAGGCTGCCTACACTGTCCCTGGAAGATTTGAGGTTGTTCCACTTCCATTGATCGCGCGCAGTAGATACCTTCCATGCTCCAAACATGACTATGATGTGAGTAGCGAGTGCAACTAACTGGTCAGTACAAGAACTGTCTTGAATTGGCATTACAGTAAGCATCAGTAAGCAAACATATTCTTAACCAACATGCCTTCAACATTCTCAAATGCTGCCCGTTTTGGCCTGCAATTTTCTGTTGGCAAGAGTGGTCTTGGATGTGACTGTGTCCTGGGTTGGGGGCGCAGCTTAGCTGCACGAGGCTCTAAAGGATCCCCAAGATTCTCACTTCCGGCTTCCCTAGCAAAATTCCGCAAACATCAAGCAGTGGACAGCACCATGTCTGAAGCCTTAAGCTCCTCGAATGCCAAGCTCCCAACACCGAAAGGTCCGAAAGGTGCTCCAAGATTCGGAGCTGGCTATCCATCAGGCGGTAGCAATTCTGAAGGTAGACCTCTCAAGCCAATTTGTCTGGGAGGTGTCTACCTCTCATGCCAGTGTTCTTTTTTGAGCTGCAAACAATGGCGCTTCTAGGCAAACACGTGCTGCACTAGCACATGACAGCAATGACCAATATTGCTATTTGACACTACTGTACCTCAACTTCCCAAGTAGGTAAAGGGAAATAATGACTCCAAATCAAGAAAGCAGCAGCGGGTGTAATGTGTAATGTTAAGCAATCATCCACTGAGCAAGCGAGCTCAGGGCTCAGCAAAACAGCGTTTGACTCAACCCAAAGATGCAGTTCATTTGCAGCTGGACCGCTGACACAGCCCTGAGGCTCGCCTCATCGTCTTCCGCTACTGAACTCCAGCACAGAAGAAGAAGCCAAATGCCATGAGACAGCATTCGGTCATGCAGGGCAATGCGTTTTAACCAGTCACTTCTCTCTGCGGTGAACGGCTGTTGATTTTCACTATGGACCATGAAGCTGCAAATGCACCAATGATGTTTCACCACGCGAAAGTCAGCAAACTTCGCAATGGCCACCAATGTTTTTGTTTAAGTGTTTTCTGTTGTTTGGTGTCTATTCAAAAGGGATGTCTTTCGCTGCAAAACACACCACTGGGCTATCTCTATGACTGCAAGCGGCCTGTACAGGCATGGAAGCGAAAACAAACAGTTGGGTTTCGTGACGTGAAGTTTCGTTTGACTTCTGGTCCTCAAAACCCTGTGGCCCGAGGAGCGAGTTCCACAGGTGCAGTTCAAGCTATGTGGGCACAACTTAAAACAATCATAGCACAAGTGCAGTTAGCACAAGTGCAGTGCACAAAAACACGTGGCTTACAGACGCTTCGCTCCGCCTTGTCGCTTCGCCTCTTTCCGGCGAGTCCTGGGTCTGAGAAACGCTGTAGATCATGCGGCGAGACGAAACGCAATGCCAACAATCAAGGGCAAACATCGCTATTAGGAACGCTACTAGGGGCTCCTGGCATCGCTACTAGGATCTACTAGGAGCAAAGGACGCTACTAGGGGCTCCTGGCCGTACTACTAGTAACAAGAAGCTCTTAGAATTAAAAGTAATTAGACATCCCATGACATCCACAAACAGCTTGTGTGTGGGGACTGCACCTCAGTGGCAGTCGTTGAATCGGTGGAGGCCCTGGCAGCTCGCTGAGCTGCTTCGGCCTACAGCAAGCGTTTAAAGGTGGTCACTCCGAACATTTACTTTTCAATAGACATGAAGCAGCATATGTATCTTTTTCCAAAAAAGTCACGTTCCTGCGCCTGGTCCGACTTTAAATCAGGAAAGTTGCTGATCACCAACCTTGCTTCAGACTAACGTGTGGATACGTTGAAAGGGATAATATGCGGAATAAATTCAGACTCAGCGAGACTAGGGCCCAAACTTTTGAATGTCCATATTCATCATGCGGATCTCTTTGTTTTGGTTTGCCAAGTCTGCAATCACTGCCCTGCGCATAAGACATGTGGCTCCGTAGAATGACAGCATGCCCCGTTTGCTGCCAGCAATGTTTTCGAGCACCGGAAAGGGTCTGCTAGTATTGAGGGATGTCATGACACAAAAGCAAACTGTGAGACATACAGTGAGACATGTGATATACTGCTTCGATCCAATGAAGCCCTCTGCCTTAGCTCAGCACTCCCACGCTTGTCTGAGCTAAAGCCATAGCGTAACAGGAGAGGTCCCATGACCTGCGAGGGATGGTTTCGTCTCAATCAAGAACCCTTGATTCAAAGGTGAACTGGCTATACCAGCCTTCAGAAACTGTGGAAGAAGCTTCATCATGCTTTGCAGGAGAAATACTTGGTGCTTTAATTGAAGCTGCTGTCTATCAAATAAACCATCGCCGTTACCAAAGTCATTCTGACTAAGCTCAGGCGGCTTAGAGAGAATGCTCTCTCCGTGCACCTTTTTCAACAAAGAACGATCTGTTGGAAAACAACGTAATATACATATAAGTCATATATATATATATAAAGACTCCCTGTGTTCTTCTTCCTTTTTT